AAACCCCAAAACCCCAAAACCCCAAAACCCCAAAACCCCAAAACCCCATGAATCATATTTCTGAAAAAATTTAGTTGTGATAAATTAAAATATAATCATCTATCAAAATTTAATCTATTTTATTTGGACTTAGAATATTTGCTTGAATTTTTCAGATTCAAATTATCTTTCCTTTATTTACATTTTTTGAATCTTTATTCATCTGCTATCAAATTATTTAGCAGAGTTTCTTGCTTTTTCTTTGGTGATATAATCTAATCTTCCTCTTTAATTATTTTTGTTTTAAATTGACTTGAAAGCATATACAAGGACTATCTATTTTTCTTTCTTTAACCCCAAACTAAATTTCTCATTTTCCATACCAGTTTAGAAACTGCAATAGCATAAATGTTTACTATTAGAAATATAATTGATAGCGCTATTGGAACATATCCTATGCTCTCTTTCACATCAAAGTCTAGATCATAATTGTCTGAGAAGATAATCATACCATACAAAATAACTTGGAAGATGATTTCATTAAAAATTTCTAGACTATTTCTTTGCTTGCTTTCATATGGTTAAAAATGAAAAATGTATATTATCATTAGCATATTTTGAATTATCAGAAATGCTAGCTAGAGTCCTTGGCTTTTATCAAACAAAACAAATGTTAGTGAGTATAATATTCTTCTTGAAATAAATATTGAGTTAAAGATCTATTAATCTCTTCGGAAACTTTCAATTATTGGAAGAAAATTCGAATGTAAAATCTTTTGCTATGACTTGTATATCACATGAGTGATGAGTAAAGACAGAAAAGGTAAAATAATGCAAATTCCAAGAAAGTTTACTGACAAAATATATGCTGTGATATCAATAAATGTTGAATTATTCTAAAAGTATTATTGAAATTATCAAATAATTACCTGAAAATTATTAATATAAGAGCATATTAGCAATTCAATTAATGATTCCTACAAAAATCTTACTATTGAATTGAAATAAATCATTTTTTCAAACTTCTCAAGAAATGAAACCATTTAACTCCTACTAAGCATCATTAGTATTAAAACAAATTTACCTTATTATAAATGACTTCATCACCTTTATTATATACACTAAAAGCATCATAATAATTAATGACCAGTAAAAATAGAATATTAGTCCAAGATTTCTGATAAGGTTTGTAGAAGAATAGCCCATTCTATCAAAATATGGGTTGAATGCTTAATCATCTACATCATCAGGATTGTAGTCAAATATAATGGAGTTAATATCTTCAACATCAAAGAATTGGAAGTTAGAAACATCTAAAATGAAGTTGTAAAATAGAGCGACATTAGCAGGAGTGTTTACTGTCATTAAAGGTAAATGAGTAATCAATTAAAAACTATTAATCATGCCCCACAGCATCTAGATGCTCTACGACCTATAAAGTTAAACTACTACAAATTTACATTAAAATATTGATGATTAAATTAGTTCCCAGCATACTTTGCAATACAATTACAGTAGTTTACCCAAAATTACTTAGAAAGTATTTTAAACCTTAGCTGATCTATGGTGGTATATACCCTCTTATCTCATAGTTTTCTTTAATCATATATATTTTCGATTAATCATAGAATAGAAAATTCATTTTAAAATTAATGATCAATTTGTCCCATTCCTAAAATTTTTAAGTTAGAATTATAATTTACTGAGTTCTTTGATATTTCAGTTGGATCAGTAAAATTCACTTGCAATATCAAGCGTCTCTAATTAATTGCCTTAACTTCAAATTTCAAATTGAATTCCTAATCTTATTAAGATACATACAATTAAATAGCTGATTAAACCTTAGTTTTAAAGTCTTTAATGTTATAATTAATGGTCTTTTAAAATAGAATTACAACTTCTCCTGTATTAGTAATTCTACTGATCTTTGCATTTAAATCTCCCTTGATATTAAACATTTTTGAAAGCAAGTAATCTTCTAATAGATTTTAAGTTTATAACTATGATTCATATTAATTAGAAGCAACAGCCTTTATTAGAATATTAAAATAAGATTTGCTTTATAAGCTATTCTAGTTGTTATCTTTGATTATTATAGTAATTTTATGTTTTCCAATAACAGACTAAATAGGATTGATGATAAGTTTATCCTTGGTAGCTAGTAAAAATAAACTAGTTAACTATCCTTTTATTAAAATATCATAGTCATCTCCTTCTCTATCAATAATTATAGGGAGATTGACGAATTTCAACATTCCTACATTAGCCTCTATATCTTTTACTCTAGAAATAAAGTATGGTGCACTGTTACTTATTGTAAATTTATCAACATCATTATAAACAAAATATTTGAAAGAGTAGGACTACATCAAAATTGGAGGAACGAAACCCTCGATATCAGCCCCTATTTCATACCTAAATAGGAATTCATTTTCGCCAATGTTAGAAATTTAACTCGCTTAAATACCAACTTTAAAGTCGCTAATCTAATTTAGTACGAAAATAGAATTTATATCTTATTCTGGAGTAGGTAGCTAATATTTCAATTTTTAAGAGAAGCATTCTTGATAAGGTCCAAGTTTCAATTAGGGTATTGTGTAGTATTTTATATCAGAAGAAAGTTTATGTCTAATAGAATTGTTCTTGATATCTTCTAGTATCCTAAATTAACTTTAACAAACATTTTTCACTCCTATTTTGAATGATTCCTTCATTAATACCCAAGAATTTGCTAGATCATTTGTTTCATTGATACTATAGGTGATCTTAAATCCATAAGATGATATCTGATTTATTTTTGTAAATTTTCAAATAATTTTAATACTCATAGAACTCTTTTTAGAGTAGGTTGTCACTGGATTTTAGCCGTTTTCAATCATATCCAATCTATAAGACCTTTGATCATTTATTTCGTCTCTACATTAATTTTTCAAACTAAATATTGAAAAGTATATCTCACACTATACCCCTAATATGCAATCAACATTTTATTCAATAAGCTTAGGTGATCTTTCAATTTATACTGGAAGCTAAGAAACGAAAAGCTAATTGTTATTTCTTTCTGATTAGTTCTTCCACAGTACCACATAAGGTAATAGATTTTTAATAATTTTGATTTTAGGGCTATTTTAAATCACATCATTTTTACTTATTCCTTTTACTTCAACAGCAACAGAACCTGAATATTTTTAGTAATCATATATAAAATCAAACGATTCGTTTAAATTCAAAATGCTGTAATAGCTATTTTCTGGAGAAAGGAGAGACATATATGCTCTCTTATTACCTTAATACTCATTTAAGTGACCAAGATGAATAAAGTCATTAATCACAGAAACAAACTTAAATTGCTTAATAGAAATTGAGTTATTTTTTAAGTAATGCATTGATTCTTCAGACACAGAATGATTCTAAGTTTCCTCATAAGAACTTTGCTATATTCTGACTATTAATATTTTAGAATCTTCACTATTTGTAGCAATATAGACTGCCTAAATTTCTGCTTTTTGAGCAATTTTTGTGCCAATACATTAAAATTTCCGTTGAGATGAACTAGCATCTCTAGTCAAGGATACAGCATTATCACTGTTAAAAATATGAATTAGAATTCCAATTATGGCATGGCTAGAGCTTCTACCTTGCATACATCCAACTTGAAGATTATCTTATTCAAAAATCTCTGTGATAATTATGTCATACTTTACTAATTAAGGTGCATTGTAAGTTGTAATAGTAAAATCGCCAATTTCATCGAATTCTTAGATAAAATAACTAAAATCATTATTTCCAATGCCTGAAATTCCCATTGCTAGTATCATTTAGTGAAGCTCTAGTTAATAAATTGCAGTAAAAGTTAGTCCTTAGGAAGAAATAGTAAAATAATTAAGTATTTAGATTAAATTTGGTGATAACTTTAATAACATTCCAGTTTCTCCTGCTTCAATTTCATCAGAAAGAATAACAAATATAGCTCCATCTGATTGCCTAATATTCAAGACCTATGGTATAGTTTGAAATAGCATTGGATAGTTGCTCAGTATGGATGTTCTTACTATCCCACCTTATAAATCTTGTCTCATAAGCAAGTAATTTCTTATTGATAGTTGTCTAGTTCTAGCTATTTCTTTTGATCTAATGAGAGAAATGATGTGAGATGACTTCTAAAAATGAACAGATTCAACTACATCTAATTCAATTTGATTTGCCTGATCAGAATCGAAGTTGTAAGAATTAAGCCATAGGAATCTATTCATGGTAACTCAGTTATTATAAAACCCAATGACAATATCAGACCCGTAATTTCCTCCGATAGCAAAGTAGTTAAAATCTTAGTCATAATTCATCACAGTAAAGGTCGATTAGATTGTTTTATTCTATTCATTGTTTAGCTCTATGGGTAGTTATTAAGGACTGAAGCAATACGGTAATGCTTATGAACTATAAACAATTAAATTATAGTACTGTCTCATTCCAATAAGTAAAAGATAGCAAATCATAAAGTTAAAATGTAATATGGGCTTACAGTATATAAAAATTTGTTGATAATAGGAGTACAATAAAGAAACTCATTTTTTGAAATATATGCTTAATTCTTTTGAAATCGTTCATTATTATTTAATATCGCATAGGTTAAATATAAAGTAAAAATTAAAAAATTAGATTAAATTGTACTTATTCAGAGATTTAACGAAAACATTATATTTCATTTTTTTATCATCAAGAGAATAAATCATCATGGGGTTTTGGGGTTTTGGGG